TGTGTGTGGGGGGGTGATGAGGGTGTAGGAGCGTGGCGTCAACGGGGGCCCCCGTACATGGAAGCGTTGTGTGTACGGGGTGGTAAGGGCTCTTCCCAGGCATGTAAGAGTTTGAAGTCAACGGGGATTGCGGCGCATGTAAGCGTTGTGGGTGGTGTCCCAAGAGTTGCAGGAGCACCGGGCGGCTAGTGACGGGAGCCAACTTGTTTTTTTTTGTTGTGGTCGTCATCGTGGTTGTGGTTGTGGGAGTGATAGTGGTGGTGGAGTTTCTGCCGGCCTTGCTGTTGCGTGATGCTGCCGTTGCCGATGACAGGGATCGGGTAGATTGCTCTGCTCCCCTTTCTTAGTGTCTTCTTGCATCCCCCTTTAGAAAAAATTGGAGTGAGTGATGATTTTGAATTTGAACGTGACGTTGCTGGATATTGCTATGTTGCTTCAGCCTCAGCTGCTGCTGATTGTGGTGATGGTGATGATCCTGATGGTGCTCGGCGCATGCTGGCGGTGTCGTCGCTGCTGCTGCTGCTGCTGCTGCTGCTGCTGCTCTGCTGCTAGTGATGGTGATGTTGCTACGAATGCTGCTACTGCTGCCTCTGACGATTGATGATGATATTGCTACGCGTGCTGCTGCTGCTGCTGCTGCTGCTACTACTGCTGTCATCGACAGGATGCTGCCGGTGGCCTTCCTCATGTCCTTCGTGGTGTTCTTCTACGCCTTCATTGGCTACGTCCTCTACCGGGACGAACCGTGAGAATCAAACAGCAGCTTCACTCCAACAAGCGTTTGTGCCAAGGGTACGCGGTTCTCAAGGAGGCGTGGGGACATGAAACGGAGCATGGGAGCATGAAACGCAACATGGGGACACGGGTGGAATCCGAAATGGGAGTAAGAAACGGAACAATTCATGCAGCACACGTACATGCGCTGGACACGCGGAATATTTTTTTATTTTTGCTTCGACCGCATCAACGGTCTAAAGAAGCAACCTTCACCTTTCATAGGGTGTTCAACGAACAGGTAGGGTCTCATCCACCCAGATTGTGGTCGTGAGATTTACGATAGCGAAGTCGGAACCCTCGAGGTTTCCACAGCAGGCAAGCAGTCAACGACGCTCGCTGGTTCTGGCGGCTAGACGGCTTTCGTTCAGCTCTTAATTGCTACCGCGTCGTATCCGACCTTCCACGGCACTGTAAGTTACCAATATTCAACGAGTCTTGTCTGTGTTTTGGACCCATCTGTTCATTGTGTGTGCTTTGTTTTTTGCATGTAGCAACGATGCAAGTTGACCAGCTCTGTCCGCGTTCAAGAGCCTAGGGCTAGAAAACCAATTTCCTCAACTCAACAGCGTCGACAACCAACCACTCGTTTTGTCCTGCCGTGGCGTCTTTTTCATTGTAGAAAAGTGGTTAAGTCATTCTTCTACCCCAATGTCTTCTTCGTTTCAGTTTTATCAACCTCCTACAGTGATATCCTCCTTGGTGAATTTTGTTTTATCCTTTTGTTTTCGCGTGTGTCCCTCTTCTTTTTTGGTCGTGGCGATGGGATCGTGGTTTGCTCAGGCGATCCTCGAGCCTCCTGCAGGACCTGGACCTATTCAGCCAGCCCTCGTCCTCTGCGATGACCTTCCTGCGCATCTTCACCTCCATCCCCTTCATGCTGGACGTCGAGCACATCTACGCAGGGACAAAGGTGCAACCCCTGCGACTACTCTCGAAAACCTTACTGCCGCTACTCTGTTCCGGGGGTGACAGAGAGAGGGTGTAAATGTTATTCCTCTGATCGTAGTAGTGACCCCAGGTTTCCAATGAACAACTCAAGCTAGCGTTCTTGCCGTGACGCAATAAGCATCAGCTGGTTCTGCCTTGCAGGCGAAGAAACATGTCTTGTTTTCAAGCATCGGGGGTTCTTGCGAGGGTTCGACATGGCGGGGGGAGGGGGGGCTCTCGCGCTCTCCAGGCATGTTCACGTACCCCATGCGTGTTCGGTTCGGACTGCTCTCTCACTCCCATCGCTTCTTTCGTGGCACTGCTGCCTGCGTGTGGTGTTTCCTCTTTCTCTCTGTTCCTTCGACCCGGCCAACAGGGCATCCGCGTGATGGGCCTGTCCTATGGCGTGATCATGGTCATCTTCCTGGGGGCGCTGGTGCCCGCTGTTGCCAACCGCAACTTCCAGTACCAGTCCAAGGAGAGGCAAGTCACGACGATGACAATGATGGTGGGGGTGCTAGGGGAAGGGACGTGGTGCCCAGCGTTTATTCTTTCGAGTTCGTATTTTGGACTCGCTTTCGAGAGCTAATTGCTGCCATGGTAACAATTCGATGGTTTCGTTTTCCACTACTGGTAAGGTGCGCCGGGCTGTTTTACGATATGTCCTCCCCGAAACCGAAATTTAAAGAGAAAAACAGTTAAGAAACGCAACCCGCTTCTGCGGATTTTTGCTGTGTAAATTAGATAGACACGTACGCGGTAGTAATGGTACAGCGCATTTCGGCACGGCGTACACAAGGAAGAAGTGGAGGTAATCGTCTTTTGCGCCGCATTTTTGTCGTTCAGCGGTGGTTACTCCGACACCATTTTTTCGTCAAATGTCTCCGGTCGGCCCTTGGTTTCCGTCATCTTGACTTGTACAGGATGGCATTTCTCCGATGACAACGTATTGGAGAAGGTAATAGGTAGGTAGCCCAAGCGTTTGCTTCCCCCCAAGACCAATCTGTCTCTCCATCCCCCCGCTCTTTTCTCGTGTGTCCCACCTTTCGGGGGCATTGGCGGGACACAGCCTTGTCAAAAAATAAGGAAAAAATATGCCCCCCCCCTCTTTCACACGCGGCATGGCATGCGTTTACATACCCCCTCTATCGCTACATATCTCCTGTAACCGCTGAATCCCCTACCTGTGCCTTGACAGCTACAACTGGGTGAAGGAGCAGCGTAAGCTTGCCCTAACCCGCGCGTTCATGCTGCTGAGGCGGGAGGAAGACAGGACCGTTGGTCGGGAAGACTGGGTGCGGCTCATGGCCTGCCTCCGCCCTGACTGCAATGCTGGGCACGTGAGCTGATGGTGTTGCCGCCCACGTCATTCGACGAACTGGAAGCAGCTAGCTGGTTGTGTGTGTATGTTCTGTGCCATACAGAGAAGGTTGTGCGTGTGTTTTCTTTGTATGAATATGACCAGAAACAAAACTTTTTTTCGAAGTCTGCGTGTTCGTAGCTTTTGTGAGACCTCGGTCTCAACAACATACGTTTACGAGATAGTTCTTACACATTTTTCTCTTTGATGCGCAACTTCGTGGTCACCCTTGTCGAAAATCCCCCGACAGCACCCGACCACTCCTGTACAACTTACAAACAAGTCTTTGCTTGTTGTGCACGTGTGTGCGCTTGTTTGGCTTTGTTTTCGGGTGGGGGGGAGCAGACGTCGGCTTTGTTCGATGCGGCGAAGAAGGCGGAGGACGAGACGGTCTCCCTCGGCGGAGAGGACGACCGCAACAGGCTGTCGAAGGGGGGGTTCTTCATGCTCTGCGCGCTCGGCACGGCCAGCTTCTCTCGGGTACAACAGTAGCGGATGCTGCATGCTTGATGCTTGATGCTTCCTTGGAGTCTTGATGTACTGATACCTAGGTGCGAGTTTCTCCCTCTCTCCCTCTCTCTCTCGCTCGCTCTCATTGTTTTTTGTCTCGTGCTGTCTCCCAGTCTCTTTCTCTCGACCCCAATCTCACCCTCGCCCCATCTTTACCGCATGCTCTCTCACTCACTCTCCCTCTAACACAACATTCACCGTGTGCCTCAGCAAAACCGTCTTTAGTCATCCTTACTGTCGTGTTTTGGTACACGGTGCTTTGCTGTATGTGACGTCAACTGACGTCGTTTCGTCCACCCTACCGACGCAGAACCCCGCCCTACTTTGTCAGGTAAGGTGCGGTGTTACTCCCTACGATAGTCCACCCCTTCTTGTATCTTGCGTTCAAAACCTCCATCATAACGATCACGAGCAGTTCCCTCAAATTGTGGAAATCTCTGCAAAAAAAAAATGTCGGAGTAGCCTCTCTGCCGTTGTTGTATGTGTGTGAGAGGAGGCAGCTGGTGCATGTGAGAAGTGGAGGGCAGCGAATAACCGTGCGTTTTTGCTCCAAAGTGTGCCGCCCTGTCCCCGACAACGACACTCTTCGCATTTGTTCTCACTGCTGCGTCGCACGCTACCGAAGCTAAAAAAAATACCCCTGTGCTGCTTGCTCCTTCCGCAGGCTCGCAAGGACGATGCCGGCAGCAGGCGATCCGGGTCGAAGTGGAAGCGGATCCGACAACGTCTGGACGGTAAGCCGTTCGTCACCGCTCGCTCTACCCTTGCGTGTCGGTGCCGCACCCTGCAGCAAAAAGTAAACGACGTCAACGAGTGCCGTGAACGAACACTTCCTTCTCGAACAAGTTTTTGAGGCGACCCGTGATGAGTTTGAAGAGTTTGTTTGGGCTTTTTCGATAGTAGGGTACCTTCATATCTGTCGCCTTGTTGAAATGGAAGGCTATGCGGCACACCACGCACCGCACCCACGAGTAGGTGGGTTGGATTTATGTATACTTGTTTGGGCTAATTGAACGCCAAGCGGTATAGAAGTTCGTTTGATCAAACCAAACGTCAAACGTTAGGTGTTCGTTGTTCGCCGTGAGTAATGCGAATAGCATCATGAGCGAGGGCGTTATGTTTTTGTTCGTACAACTATTTAGCCAGACGAGCAGGCATCTGCCGTAGAACAAGTACCCAGATGTTTTAGAAACACTTATTAATAGTCACGTGAAATTAAAAGGTGGCTTGAGTTCTTGGATGGGCCTAAGAACTTGTCAGTACCGCCCTTCAGAGGACAAATTGATGTTCATTCGATTCAACACCTCCGTTCGGCTTTGTGTTTTTTAGTCCACAACCAGGGCTTCTTCGGGAACAGCTTTTGCGGACTGTCTTTTTCGTTAAACTAGCATTCTAGTGCAGCTCTTCTCACTACGTCTCCAGTCTAGTCGACTTCATGGACGGCGTCCGTTACTGTCCAGAATGGCCAACCCTCCCCCCCCCTCCCGTTTTAGCACTCGAACGCATGTCGAATGCTTGCACGGGTTCATGTCTGCGACATGGTCTGGAATGATTGCGGCGGAGCAATTAGTGAGAACGGGTACGAAAGGCTGGCGAGGAGTTAATCTCGATTAGAAGAGCTACTACCGATGTAGGGGTCTGTTTCTGTTTCCACCTATCATCGACGGATGAATATATTTTGCAGCGGTCGCTCGTGAACACGCACTTGCCAATCTATCACCACAAATCACCACGTTTGTTTGTCTCTCTCTTCACTGACGGCGTTACTTGACGCGTTAGATTCGGACTCGATTTCGATTTCCAACTCGTCCAATTGCTCTGCTGGGTGGACCCCGTCCTCGCCTCTAATTTTTCCGCCTTGTGCTCGTCGGTGTTGGGCGGATCATTTTGCGTCACCCTCCCCCCCCCCCCCCCCCCCC